GGAACTGGCACATGGGGTCTCTAGAAGAGAAGAGCAGGGTTGCACCCACAGCTCCTGGCCAGGGCTGCCCCGAGCTGACAGGGCTTGGCCATCCCACCAAGTGGCAGGCGGCAGGGAAGAGACAGGGACCATCCCCAGCCACCATCCCAGCTTGGGCATCCCCACCGCTGTCTCGTGGCCCCGTCAGGTTGTTTCTGCCTCTTGTAAATGCCCGGTGGCACCATGGTGGCCAGGAATTGCCCCGCAGATGCCATAAACTCAGGCGAGAGGCTGGGGTCCAAGTGCTGTTGGTAACCTGTGGGGCAGGAGCCACGGTCCAGCAGCCAAGTTGGAGAGAAAAGGGACCAAGCTATTTCTCCTGCTCCCCTCACACCATCGCCCACCGTCCCTCACCTTTGTACTTGGGGATGTCTCGCCCCAGTAGAGTCGGCAGCCATTCGTACAGCACGATGCTCTAGGGCACAGGGGAGCTGGGTCAGGGCCAGCGCCAGGGAGGATGTCAGGGGTCCTGGCAGGGCCAGGAGAGGGGGTCCCATCCCTCACCTGGAAAGTTGCAATGACCCGCTTGCGAGCATGCTGGAAGAGGTCCTCGTCGGACCAGGTGGGATGTGCCCTCGCCAGCGCTGCAGCGAGGTGGTTGTGGTACCGAAACCAGGCGATGCTCTCAGCCTGCACAAAAGGGTTCTCGTTCCCCCAGGCACTCCCCAGGTCTGCAAGAGCCATCAGGACCATCAGCGGGGGGATGTCACTGCTGGCTCTAGCTTTGCCCATGGCTGAAGGAGCATCCCCAGTCCCGTGGCTGCAGCCCAGCATCCTCTCATCTCCTTGCCCTTCCTTCCTCCCCAGGTTCATGAACAGCCTGAGCGAGTGAGAAGCAGCACTGGGACCAAAATTTGGGCAAGTGAGGAATCCAAAGCAAGATGAGCAGGTTTTTACTGGCAGCAGCCTCTTTCCCCAGGGGGGATCTCCTCGGATCAGAAGGACCAGCACCTCTGGTCTCTGTGCGCTGGCAAAGAAATTACCTGCTGCCTCCCAGGGACGCAGCACCTGAACTTCATGACGTGTGTTTGCTGAGAAGCCTTCTCTGCAGCCTGTATCTTCGTCACCTTTGGGCTGGAAAACTGCCTGCTCTCCCTTGGGACTCCTGACCCACGTGTCCTGGCCCACCACACCTCCCTGCCCTTTCCCAGGGCCCCCTTGTGGCTCAGCTCCCTCAGGCATGGAGCCGAGCAGGTGAAAACCCAGTGATGACACCACAGTTACCGTAGATGCCCTGGGGACCACCTCGTCCTGTGGACGGATCCAGTGCCTTCCACATGGGGACCCTTCCATCTGTTTCCCTTGGGAGGTCCCCGCTGCGTCCTGATGCCAGTCGTCCCCCCGAGAAGCTCCTCAGGGCATCGCTCCAGGAGTGCGAGGGGCCATAGATGGAGCTGCCATCCAGCCAGCCTGTCACCTCGTTGGTCTGGGACAGGTACCGGGAAAGGGTGTTAACAGGCAGAAATGTGGAAAAAAAAAAAAAAAAAAAGAAAAAAAAAAGAGGTATGAAAAGCCCCAACCTGTCTCTTCTGGTCCTGAAAAGAAGCCACCACATCCTCTGTTTTAACAAGACATGTGAGGGTGCAAATATATACAACAATGCCCAGAAGAAGACATCTATGAATCCCTGTGTAAGAAAGACCAAGCTGGAAGGGGACTAAACCCACCTCTGAGGAAACTGGAACCACTGGAGCTGTCTCCTTTGGACAGCCCTGTCCTGGCAGCATATCAATATCTGATATTCAACAGCATAAAATGTTGACCTCAAGAAACCACAGCTGCTTGGGAACCAGTACCTTGGATGTTGTGCTTTGGGTTCATTTTCAATTGATATAAACACTTGTGTTTATTTTTAAGGAAACGACGGTGTTCTCCTTTTGTTTTTGCAAACACTATCTTGCCTGTGACAGACCCCAGCACTGGGTGAAGACAAATTTAGCTGGAGAGCAAAGAGCAAAAGAAATGGTACCTACCTGTGCCCGGGGGCTGTTGGGGCTCTGCCCCGTCTCCGTCGCCCAGTGGATGCGCTGGAAGGGCAGGACCACGTCTCCAGTGCCTGCAGGGTCAAACACGAGGTCTCTGGCTGGGATGTGGATGTTCAGGAACTCAGCAGGGCAACCGGGTTTCTCCATCCCCAGGATGTCCAAGAGCACATGGAAACCTGCCAGAGACCCAAGCACGGTCAGCAGCTGGGAGGGTTGCCACCAGCACCTGGAGCAGGACGTGATGGTGGGCAGCCGAGCCTTACGTGGGCTGAGGGGACCACCCTGTGCAGCAAGAATGGTTTCCTTCCTGCCTTCACTGCTGCTTTGCTCCACAACTTTGAAAAAGTCACTTTGGGCTGGAGCTCAGATGTTCTTAAGCTGCAGTTCCACAGGAACAGGGCTCCAGGTGCCCTGGAGTAGGGTAGGGTCATTCAGGGACCAGGGTAGAGAAACTCAGCCAGTGGTTTTTCAGAGATCATCTGCTGGCCACCACTTTACCAGAAGCAAGGCTCTGCATTTAGCTACTCTCACCCTGAGCAACTCCTTGCCTGTGGCTTTCAAGGCCAAGGGTTGCTGCTGATGCTCAGCCTGGTGGCTGCCGTTGCTGTTGGCCCATTTGAGCTTTGGTGTGATGGGAAAAGCTACCTCCAGGAAGAAGCCAAATGGTGCGGCGTTAGTGTCTGCCCCTCCTATGGCCCATCTTGGGGCTGAGCACCCCAGCTTGGGGTTCAGGGTCACATCTGAACTTTAGGCTGGTCGTGGAACGAATTGTCTCCATTTCTTTGACCAGTTTAGCCTTTTTTCCTTGATCAGCTGAGTGTATCTCCCAGAAACAGATATTCCTGAGTTTGGAGACACAAGATCTCATTGAGCTCCTGACTGACAGCAGAAACTGCTCAAACTTGCAGCCATTTCTGACCAGCAGTCACTCACAGCGTGGCCCTTATCGCATTTGTCAGGTGTTTTGCAATGGGGTAACTTTACCACTAAAACAAATGAGGAAGTTCCCAAATGACAAAAATCAACATTTGGGGCAACTGCCAAAGGTCACTGAAAACTCCTACAAACACTCTTGGCTCGATAGTACTTTGATATGGTGATACCCAATGCTTTAGCTTCTGGGTGTGGGTCTGCTATGAAGTGGTGGGTGAGGAGATCTCTCTGATATCTGGCAGCGGGGTGTGAGAAATCCACACCTTTCCACCCAGACTGACATCCTTCCACCCAAACCAACACCTTTCCACCCAGACCGGCATCTTTGCACCCAGGTGCCAGGCTCTAGCTCTTACCGAAGAAGACAGCCAGCACAGTTGTGTTCCTGCGGGAGGGAAGCCCAGAAGGTCCCTCTGCCACTGCGTTGCTGAGCTGGCGAGCATTGGGCACGTGAGGCTCCTGCAGCGCCTGGTAGACACCGTCAGCATAGTTGGCGGGCAGGAGACGCAGCAGCCTGGCACCTGCGGCATCAAAGCAACACGGCTTGGGGTCTGGCAGCACCCAGCATAGTGGGGTACACCGGTGAAGATCCCAGAAGAAAGCAAGAGGATGGCATAGATGCCTATGGTGGCCAAGAACCCAAAACTTCCTGCAACACTGGGATCAGCCCTCTTAAAACTAGGAGGCATGTTCCCTCCCAGTTGTCCTTCCCTGGTCCACTCTGGTGCATCCCCGTGGCCTTCAGGAGGTCTGGGGTGGTGTGTGGAGTGATGGTAAGCTGCCCACGTTGACTGTGAAGTCTCACACAAGCATGGTGATTGCCAATGGGGCTCTTAGGTGCATCTAGGGACCTTCCTTGAGTGCACATAGCCACAGGAGATGGCATTGCTTGATAAGCTGCCTGGTTCAGGGTCAAGTGAGAAAGGGTTTCTATTGAACGAGATGCTAAAGTGTCAGCTTGCCTTAACCCACTACCTCCATTCCCAGGCCTGGCACTCACCCACCGAGCCACGGCTGTGGTGCAGCAGGTTGTTGTACCAGCCGTCGTAGCGCTGGACCTCCCAGGAGATGCTCTCCTGGGCTCCTGGAAGAGACCAGTCACACTTCGTGAGCAGCAAAGAAAAAAATAAACGCATGGAATGAGAACTCTTCCATTACAGAATTATGTCTATATTGTGACATTTTCCCCACATTTTTGTCTGAAACTTTCATAGTGTTTTAGACTCCTTCTGAGGGGTAAGCAATGTCTAAAATGAGAAATTCACACTTGTGAGCCAGATGTCCCCAAATCAATTTCTATCCCCCACTAGTCTGCTCTCAAAGGATCTTCATTTTCTCCTTCTCTCTCAGAGGGTCTCTCCTCCACAATGTCCCCGTGAGTCAGGCAAAGGCATTGACACTGGAGTTATGCTCTCCTCCACACATTGTGTATCAGCACCAGCCTTTGTCAATAAACATATGTTTTGTTTCCTTTGTGTTAATCTTTATTGCTTTTATCTTAATACTAGAACAAGAAGCTCCAGTTCCTGGTCACGAGCTCTGCACACAGATAAGCAGCAGTAGGTGATTCTCCAAACCTACAGGCTCCGCAATTTGAACATCTTTCTCCAATTTTTTATCACAAACTTAATAATTCCTGTCTCTGATATGATGCGCCATGAGTCAAAGGCAATTCCTCTGAGGTGCAGAAACTCTCCAAGATCTCCCCTTGGATCCCCTCCCTTTGAAACCATACTTACTCCCCAAGGTCCACGTCACCAGCAGAACCACGGTCAAGCTCAACATAGTTCCTGCCGGTCGCATGTACCAGTGGGTCTTTGGAAGCAGCGACCTGCAAACAGGGAGGGGGGAGCTGGAGCTGGGAACACACACAGCTCCCTCTTGTGGTTTCTGCGACCTGGTAAAACCCCACTCCCATCATCGTCATCCGTCAGCAGTACAGATACGTAAAATCGTTTAGGTTGGAAAAGACCTTCTCCACTATTTGGGCTGTGGGCACACAAGATCCCATCACCCTCAGAAAGCTTTGTCAGGAGGTGTCGGCTGGACTGAGAAGACCTCTCTGCTGGAGCAGGACCACTATCCCTGCCTCGGGGTAGTCCAGCTGCAGGTTCACAGCTCATCATGCACTCATCATCATCCTTAAGCTGTGCCAGCTCCCTTGGAGAAACACGTCCCACCAGAACAAGAATGGTCAATCCTGGATTTAACTCCAGGATAGGTTTTCTGCTAAATAACATCTCTTTTTCCCATGTTCCAGCACTGTGGGTGTGTATCCGAAGATGAGCATCATGTCAGAGGAGCTGCGCTGTGGTGATGCACAGGTTTCACCTTTTCCTACATCACCAGCCAAAGCGATGGGTTTAGTTTCTGTTCATCCTTGCCCTGTTTTAATCAAAGCTTAAAAAAAAAACCACGACAGTTTCAGAAAGGCTTATGCCTTGCCAGCAGCTCTATAAGTTTGACTTTTGATTTGCTGGGAATCGCAGTGGGGATTTTTCCCTTAGAACTACCAACGGCACAAACCATGAAGTGTGAGTCACTAAATACACTGCCTGCTTGACAAATGAAGTGGTTTGAGATCAAAATATTGTCATTTGCATTCCTAAAACCAAATGGTCATTGCCAGGTGGCAAACATAGCATACAACTGGTGTTAACTCCCTCCCATCAGACACTTCTCTACTTGGGTGGTGAATCTGCTCACCCAGTGCCACCCCTGCCCTCCTGGAAGTGGGCCCCAGAGCTCTTCTGTCCCATGGTCCTCAGCTAAGCATGGGCTTGTGGACAGGAGATTTGGGTTGTGCAGCTGATGTGAACCAGAGGCTCTGGGAGCCCCATCCGGTATAAGAGGAACATGAAGGTTTGGACATGGACCTAGGACCAGGACTTTTTTGGACATGGACCTAGGACTCTGCCAGGAGTGACAGAGCCCAGGCATCATCATCCCATGCAATTCTCCTGCCAGAAAACCCACTCTTGCTGACATCAGTGAAAATCCTATCATTTAGTCAATCCAACACGGGTTGTGTATGTGTGTGTGTGTGTTTGTGTGTAGGCTTTCCAGCCTTGACCATGGCTAACGTGATGCAGTTGCAGTGGTTGTCTTGCTGCAACCAATAGGTTGGACCACAGACTTCTAAGGGCTTTTCCCACCAACACAGAACTTCTCTTCCATGCTTCTGTACCATCTTCCTACAAGATACTGGGCACATCAGCACTTTCTCAATCAAACTTCATTTCCCTTCCCCAGGAGCAGCTCACCCTTGTAGAACTTGGCCTGTAGAGGCATGAGGAGACATTGATGCTGTGTCTCCCGTCTAGTGAGATCAAGTGCTCATTTCTCCAGCCTTGGTTTCTCCCATCAGAGAGAATCCCTGTACCCTATGACAGCCCGGAGTTTCACACTCCTCCAAAACCCGTGCTGCAGAAAGTGCAAATACACAGCTTCCCCCAGAGCAAGGATCTCCTGATCCCAGCAGGTTCAGCTCCCCTAAAGTCTGGACTTGAGCTGCCAAATGCCTCCTGAGCTCTCCCCAGAGCCACACGCCAGCTGGGACATCAGCATTCTGAGAGAGCAGCAGCCCCTCTGCAGCGCTTAGTGCAACCGTGCAGGTAGAGGAGAACAGTTTAAAGCGTTGGAGAAGTCTGGAAAAAACACAGGACGTAGCAGGGACTCCCTCTGCTGGTGGGACACAGGGGTCCCTGCGGGTCCCCACAGTGTCCTGTTGCTCTGCTTCCTCACAGGCGAGGATGTGTGTGGCTCCACTGCAGCCTGCAGGTGAGGACACGCATGATCCCACCCAGTCCTGTGCTCACGCACGACCCAGAAACTCCACGCCAGGCAGGGGAGTGGGTGGCCCCAACCCTCCGGTGCCCTGCGTGTGCCCCGACAAGGAAGGGACACCAGTATGCCTGACCCTTTGGTTCTCGCCCAGAGATGGGGACGCGTACCCCAATCTTACCCTCTGCCCTGTCCCCCAACCAGGTGGGGACACCAGTAAGCCCACCAGCCTGCTTCCC